TGGACATCCCTCTTCTAAGAATTCCAATTGAGTGTGTTAGTGTGGCCAGCTCAGGGCAATATGATATTATAAACACAGCACATATCACGTCTCTGCTGTTTATAACTTCATAGGAAAGAAAACACGCCATTCATAACAGTTTGAATGAGGAAATCTCTTCCAAGAGCAACAGGATTTTGCTGCAAGACAGGCATATGTAACGATAACTTAACGCAGCTAAAGTCATGTTTCATTATATACTGTTCTTCTGACAACAGGCCAGCGAAAAATCTAACGATCTACAGCAAAACCATCAATTATTATGGGCGTTATAACATAGGTGTGCAGCTGGATGAAACATAGACGTCAAACCCCCACAGACGATTTAAATACCTTGATGAAACATACACGTCAAACCACGCTGAACGGTTAAGATGGGTGGTATGATTACTTAACTGGACACTGCCACCTAAAAGGACACCTTTTTAAACTGGGATTGACAGTTGACCCAACCTGCGAAAGGTGCCTACAGGAAGACGAATCAGCCACACATATCCTATGTGATTGTGAGGCCATAGCTTATTTAAGATTTTGTCACCTGGGCCAGTTCTTTATGGAACCAAGTCACTTTTATGATGCCCCATAAATTAAGTCCTACATTTCATTCAACTAGTAGGATTAATAAAGGGTTAATCAAGTTGCAGTGCAAGGGCTGGATTTTATGGCCCACCCCTTAACATATAGTGCACATACTGCTACTAGCTGTATGTCCAAGCTTAATGGCCACCGCTTGTTTGTTGTTCATGATTGCTTATTTTACATATTTACAGTTGCCCTCTATTTTTGAAGGTGTTTGTCTCCTTTATCTGCAGCTTGAATATGCACCACACAGTGGTGGAAGCAATCCAGTTAATAATACACTTTATGTACACACATCCACATGTGGATAGGCAGCCACAGAGACATTTATGAAGCCTTGGATCAATCCAGTTCTGTGTCAGGTTTTCTGTCATGGTCTGTAGTAGATTATACAAGGTGCTATTGGAAAGTTCCTGGACTAGGTCAGAAATGAAATGCTGCCTTAACTTGCTCACTTTTGGCTGCCATCTCCTTCAAGATAGTCTCTTTGGGAATGTATACAGCAATCCCATCATTTTTCACACGCTTCAGAAGCACCGTAGAAATCATTTTCCTTAGTACTGTTGAGTACTGCTTGCAATTCCCTTTGGATGTCAGACACTCTTTCAAAATGTCGCCCCTTTTGTTTAATTTTCAGTTTGCGAAACAGAGTGAAATCACAGGGAGCTAAGTCTGGTGAGTAGGGAGGCTGGGGAATGATAACCATGTTGTTGTTAGTCACAAACTCTGCGGCTTACAGGGACATGTGTGCAGGCATGTTGTGATGAAGGAGCCAGTTTGGGTTGCACAAGAGATCCATTCTTCAGTGCACATTTTCTCTCAGGTGTCCATAAACGTCACAGTAAAAGTCAGAGTTGACCTTAGTGTTATGAGGAACAAATTCACGGTGAACAATCCCCTTCTCGTTGAAAAAACAGTGAGCATGCTCTTTGTTGAACTCAAGACCTGCTGTACTTTTTTTTTTCGCTCTTGGTGATTGTGGGCTCTCCCACTGTGATGATTGTTGCTTTGCTCCTGGATCATAACTGTAAATCAAACTTTTGTCACCCATTATGAACCTAGAGATGAAAGTTGGGTCCTCGTTGGCTTCTCTTATTGCTAAAGGCACATGTTTACGCACTGCTGCTTTTTATCATTTGTCAAGAGTCTGGGAACAAACTTCGCAGCAATGTGATGCATGTTCAAATTTCCTGTTAAGATCTCCTGGCAGACTCCATTACTGATCCAGATGGTTCTGCAAGCTCATGGATTATTCAGAGATGGTCTTCTTGCATGAGTTTTAATTTTTTCAACATTTTCTGTTGTTTTGCTCGTACTTGGTCACCCTGAACGTTCATCTTCAGCTGACACTCAGCCTGCCTTGAAACATGAATGCCATTCAAAAACTGCTGTCCAGCTTAAAGAGTGTTCTCCAGAAACCTCACAGAGCATTTCAAGGGTTTTGGTAGAGGATTTACTGAGCTTCATGCGAAACTTGATGCAGACATTGCTCGCTTTTGCCATCCGACAAAACGAAACACGAAGTCGAAAAAGCATTCATGTAAAAACAATGCATGTTCACAGCACAGTGTCACATGGCAGACTGATGCAATGGACTTGCAGAAGTGTGACTTCAGTCTCCCCTCTCATCTTCTTTTGCCAAGGCAGTTGCAACAACAGCAGTCCAGGAATTTTCTGATAGCACCTACAGTTCCCATTGTCAATTTAAATTCAGAATTGTAGTACATGTAGAAGTGGATTGGATTTTCTTTGGAGACTACAGAGAAACCTTCATTTATAGAAACTTTTTTTTTTTGTGTGTTTAAGGTGGAAAGGGGTAGGCCAGTCAAACTTCAGGAATTGTTTGTTTTTTGTCTTTCGTTATCTTATTGCAGTTTCACTTGTTGCATGTTTGATGTAGTCATTTTTGTGTATATGAACCTTATGCTAATTTTATTGGGTTCGTTGTATGCAGGCCTTATGCCTCTTTGCAATTCTAATGTTCTGACTCGATTATTGACTCTTTAAGTAGAAAATTTATTCTACAAGGGAAGGTAAGTGTAAGAGTGAAGTCGCCCCTGTACTCATTGAACACCACATTAAATGATGTATCAGAAGTAGAGGTATGCTCCTTGCATCCCTGCTCTCAATATTGTGTAGGTAAGTGATCAGCTTCAGCCCTTGTTGCTTTACCACTGTAAATAGAGCCCAAGGTACCTGTTGGGTGGACCCCACAGCCAGTGTGAACATGGTAGCAAATCCGCTCCTGCCGGGAATCAGACCCTAGTCATCCAGCCCATAGTCCTATTCACTGTACATGCCACCAAAAATATCTCAGGTAACAGTAACCAAAATGTTGCCTACCACTGTATTGATTTTGAACTTAAGTGGACATAAGTGTCATATTTCTGCATCCTAGACAGCCATTTTGTTTCATGTTCATATCTGTCCTAAATGTGATGTGAAGTCTCCCATCTGTTCATGGTGCTTAAGATCCTTTCAGCTGTGCATGTTCGTAAACGACCTCAGCTCCCATATGGCAGTAATTCTTGTATCTAAGGTCATTTAATCTCAAAAGCATGAAAAACAATACCAACATTGTTGGTATACCTCACAAGTGTGGGCCATTTACTCATTCCGGTGACTTTAGCTATTTATTGGCTGTGAAAAATTACTGAATAAAGAAGAAAGTGGTTAATTTAGGCAACAGTTGCAGTGTGCCTATATGTACATTTCTTGATAATTGTAATTATATTGATTGATTTTGGTAATTATTTTGAGAAGAGAAATGTAGTTTGTTGGTTTGGTTAGGTTAGGTTAGGTTTGCGCAGTAGACTACTGTGCATCCATCTGTACCTTGGAGGGGGCGAAGCTCACCTGAAATTTTGTTCATGTGCATGGCCCCTCTAGAAAAGATAGTATACAAAAGTATTTGCTACTGGTATGGTCCACAAGGTTATGAAGAAATTTCTAACTGTGCAATTGAAATTTGCACACCATGGCACTGTGCTTAGTTGCTGAAAAGACAGCGAAAGGAAGGCAGGCTTCTGAGGAGCTAGCTGCTTTATGACTTTAGTACACTCACACAATATACAAGAAGAGTATTGTCATTTGGGATATCTGAACTTTGAGGAATTCTTTTGTACTTTTGCATAGTTATCAGCCACTGAAATTTTATGTACTGTCATATCTAGATGGGATCCATGCCTTGAGTAGGATTCAAACCCATGATCACTATGTTCTAGTGGGTGAAGACATTTCAGGCCCTAGACCATACAGCCAACATGACTGACCCATTTGTGTATGCATCCAGTTATTTCAATTTAACATCTAAATTTATTACTTCTAATTACAATGAATGGAAACCAAAAATTCTGAAAGTATTGGCTGTTTTCAGTGTGAATTTACATTTAACACAGATGCCTGATTGTGTAGTGGAGATATGCAAAGAATTCTATGTATTTTATCATGCAAGCTGCAAGTAGTTACCTCCATTTCACATGTCCGTGACAAGAACCAGTTGTCTTCATTCACCTTTAATATCTATTGTAGTTACCGGAATGTGACTGATCAAATTGTCAAGATTTTTTACTTTTATATCATTAATGTTTTCTTTGATTCATCCCCATAAGAAAGAAGTTAGCATGCTTATCAGGAGAATGTGGAGACCAGTTGAATGGGCCCTGTTATCACTACTTTGCTGTTGGAAGTAATGTAAGCCATAACCAAATTCAGTATATCTTCCCTCTTGTGACATTATGAAGGCTGCATTATACAAATATACTAAAAATGTTCAAGACTGAAAGTTTGAATTGCTGTTAGTTCTGAAACATTGGTAGATTCTGCAACTGTTTGTTTACATTTTCTGCTGATATTTATCTTCCCACCAGTGTCTTAAAGTTAGGCTATAAGGCTCTTAAATCACCCTCTTAGAACATATCTGACAACAAAAGTGACATCATGCCACTGTAGGAATTGAAGTTGGCATAATTATGTGCATTTTAAATTGATATGAAGAGTCCCTATGACATTTCTTCAGGTACCCCTGATAAAATAGTCCACAGTGAGCCGTCTGAAAGTCAATAGCCATGAACCTCATAATTTCTGAGGCTTAGAAGTATTTACCTAAAAGATGCTGACACTATTGAATCATTTGCATCTTGGATAAATGATTGTGCCTGACCTGACCTGGTAACACAAAATCTCAATGTGCTAGGTTTTACACATGCTCTGACTGTTACATTGACCATAGGCCATGGAATGTACTGATTTGATCTTACAGTGTTGTATGGTTGTGTATTTACAGGTGAAGTTCTTGGATTTGAAAATCTAGTGTTCAGTATATTTGAGTTTGTCCATGCACTGGTTGATTCCCACAAGTTTTCCAAGACAGTGGAATCAGCACTGATAGACTTGCTGTATTACCTAATTCTTTTCATGCAGATAACAGAGGAACAAGTGAGTAACTATAGTAGAGTGAATTTTTTAAATCTGTTAACCTCAGAATGGAATCTGACTCCTGTTTATATATGAATATGAAATGAAATTTGTCTTTTATTCTTCCCCTTCCCCAACCCCCTCAAACACATTTCCTTTTTCTGCTCTTTGTTTCGCGCTTCATTTCAGTTTATAAACATGTGTTTAAATCTTTACTGACTACAAAATTATGATGCAAATTTAAAAAAGTGACACACAGTTCCTGATATTTTACTTGTCACTGTAAAAATGTTAAACTCAAATTGCAGCTCAACAATTTTCATGTAATAGCTCCTAGAGAGATATTACATTTTAATACCATCGTCTGTTTTGTATGGTTGAAAGCCAATCTTTGATAGTTTGTTACTAAATCAAAGTATGTCCCATTCATGTTCTTTCTACGAAATCTGGCCTAGATTACTTGTAACGGAATCAACTGTGCGAACCAGCCACATTGAATCAAGGGATGCAGAGACAGTGCACTGCTGACACAATGATTGCTAGTAAACATTCGCTGCTGCGCAGTGACTCATAAATCATATATCCATGGAAGCAGTTCAGTACAATACAATAACAGTAGAACCAGGTGTTCTCTTTATGGTCAGAACAGAACAGGAACCACCAAGGAGAGCCTATCCAGGAAGAACCTATCTTCTGCAACTTGCAGTCTTCTTCCACTTCAAAGCATGATTCAGTGTGCATGATTCCCACACATCGTTTAAATTCATATTGTAATATAGTGTTACCTTTAAGTTGGCATCTATATGTCAGTGAGGAAGTACAAAAGTTTACATGAAACTTAAGTTGGGAAGTACTGATACATTGGTACAGCAGAGGGGTAAGTAGAAAATTAGATCCTTCATTTAAAATGTTTGTGTGCCATAATTTTTACTGTAGATTGATTGATTTCATACATGGGTCATAAAGCTGATATTTCTTCTTAATTCAAACCTGAAGTCAGTGGCAAAATTATTATACTTCGTAAAAATTGTACTGTTATGGGCCTTACATTTATGCAAGACTTGATGCATTTACAGTAACAAGAAATAATAAAAATTCTCAAGTTACCAGCCATTTCAGTTCTGAACAGAAGACTTCTGCTCTGAATTGATGTTTTGGTAGCTGGAGAAGACTTTATCACTTATAATCATAATTTGACATTTAAATTCCAGGTTCGCGCATGGACTGCAAACCCAAATCAGTTTGTTGAAGATGAAGATGAGGGAACATTTGCATATTCAGTAAGGATATCAGCTCAGGATTTGTTACAGGTGAGTTTCGTTGCTTAAAGGTATATTTATTATTTTCATTGATGAAGTTTTAGTTGAAAGAAATTTATACTGGTGAAATATCTTTTTATTGTTCTGCATTGTGTGTTCTTTCCTTCTTTGTGACCTACAACTGCTGTGAATGTGATATCAGAATAATAAATATTAACCCTTCAGTGCCACGGGAGAGTTAATTCCTATTTACTCCTGGGGATGGAGAATATTTAAACATTAAAAACAGCTTTCACTGTTACTAGATAGTTCATTAATCATTTTCACTCCTTTTTCATGTAAAAACATATTCCCTGAATGAGGCATCTTCTCCATACACCTCATGTAATGAATGGTACATTTTTGTGAAGTTTTGTTCAGTTTTGTTAAAAAGTTGATGTCAACTTGTTTGATTTTTATGGCTATCATAGTTCTGATTCACAGTGAAGACACTTCTTGGCTTAAAGCCATACAACTCTGAACTTCACAAACATGTTGAAACACAACTTCATCACAAAACTAGGGAAAGGTTTAAGACTAGCAACCATGCACTGAATTTATGAATGGGGGAATGTTTGATAGCTGCGCATGCAGTCTTATTTTGTAATAGCGACACCTCAGATTGGAACTGGAATACTGAACAGACTCCTAATATGAAGGTAGTTAATGAAATCATTAACAAGTGTGATACACTTGGGAATGACACCAGTAGATGAAAATTACATTAAAGAAAACCAAAAATCAGATTAAATCTGTGTCATGGTGACTGCAGTAATACGTTAGACACAGTATTATGTGCTTTTCACAAACTGTGGACCTTTAAAGCCTCACTTAGTTACTGTTCACAACTTCCTATAATAATTCAAGTGTTATACATTACACCTATTTCAGTAATATGTGAAGCATACCCAATTATCCATCTTATATTGAAGCTTACACACAGCCATAAGGATGGTGAGGCACATCCCAGGCACACCTGATTTAATGTTTGAGTTCAGATGTCCTCAAGGTGGGCAGAGATAGCCAAATACAGGCTAGAGAAGTTAGATAATGTATTAGAATCTGTCAGCATGCTAGGTCTAAAGTGCTATGCAGAAATGAGTGGGAGGCTGAGAATATTACTACTTGATGTAAAAAGAGAGAGAGAAATTAAAACAGGTAACAAAATGTATATTTAATAATGTAAATGTATTCCAGCTGCATTATGGCCCTGGGGTCGACTCAGCCTCTAACAGAAATGAGTATCAGGAATATTCCTGGGGGTAAAGGGTGGCCATCGGGTAAGGCTGACAACCTTATCGCCATCTGTGAGCGGATTGTCTAGAAAATGTGGGAGCCTCGACATCTCACAACCCTGTCGGCCTCCACAGCCTGTTACAGGGGATACCTTTACTTTAAATGTAATAACAATGTTGTAACATGTTGCTTAGAAGTCAGAATTGTGGAGTCAGTGAAGCATTGCATGGGCATCCATTTGTGCATAGTGGTTTTTTAAAACACATATCCATAGCAGTGAATGTGCACGTGACAGTCANAGAAGTCAGAATTGTGGAGTCAGTGAAGCATTGCATGGGCATCCATAGCAGTGAATGTGCACATGACAGTCGTGTCCACATGCAAGGCATGTAGAGCTGGCGAGACCAGAACTGGATGGCAGGATAACGTTAACTCACCCAAGTGGTGTCTGGTGTCTGAATAGAAAATGAGTTACAAGTATGCCACTCAGTTGAGGTTAAAAGCACAAATGATGTAAATGTCAAAGTGCAGCATTGGAAACGAACTGACCACCAACATAACAGTTTGGCAGTTGCACAGATTTGTGACGCTAGTGCCTCTTACTTTATGGTCCTGAAATGATTTATGAGTTGTGGTCAGAATTCATTAGTAATGGCTAGAGCTTTACTCTCTAATGTTGTGTGTTTATGTTGTGTGTAGGAACAAATCACTTATTTCTGTTGAGAAATTCATCATCTTTGTTGCGTTAAGCATAATGATAATTTTGAAAATGGTTATTAATGATTTGTACTGTTAACATGGGCACAGTAAATATCAAGGGGGAATTCTTATGTTCCATGTACTAACCTTCCCATCCATGAAAAGTTCTGCATGAAGGGTAAGTTTGTGTTTTTCTTGTGTTTTATATCATGACTTTATTTTCTTTCCTTTTGTGTTCAAGTTTAAGTATGTTTGTGGTCAGTGTTTTCTCCTTGCAGTTGTCATTACTATTCCTTATGTTTCCAGACACTGTGTGAGGAATTCGATGATGACAGCTGTTCTGCCCTGTGTCAAGCTGCAACAAGACATATGCATGAAGCAGAGACAGAACGAAATTCAAATAACAGCAACTGGTGGAAAATTCATGAAGCATGCATGTTTGCACTTGGTTCAGTGAAGAACTTAGTTGAGAAAAAGTTAGAAGCTGGTGAAGGAATCTTTGATTTGACTGGGTTTCTTCAAAATGTCGTTGTTGCAGATATGAGTTCTTCAGGTTAGTTCTTTTACAGATGCTGAGCACTTGTTATACAGGAAACATTGAAATCAAAATGGCCTTGTATAGCTGATTTAAATTTGGAATTGTTTCTTTTCAGTGCTTACAGTAATTTTGTTAATTAAATGAAAGTTCTATAACTCACGTAATGCTTTTATGTGGAAGCAGGAGACACCCTAAACTCATTCATTCTTACAACCTGCATGCTATTTTTATTTTAAATTAATGGTTACCAGGTAGACCAAAGGGACTAATAATTAAGTGGCATCCAGGAACATGAAATGCAGTTGTGGGGCAAATGTGAAATTATTGGCAGAAAGACAAGAAAGAGGAATAGGATGCAAGTTTTACCAGAAAAAGCTTACCGTGAACCTAAGAGCTTATAAAGAGATAAGGCGAAATTTGTGCTTATCCTAGAGGATTTTACCTAAGAATTTTATCTGCTTGATTAGTAAAATACTCTTCTTAATGTAATATAGTAAATGATGTAATACTATGATTAATATAAGTATGATGAATTAATATAATTAATAAAGTGGTGATTATAAAGAAATTATGGTAAACGTTAGTTATGTACAGTAAGGAAATTCAAATAATAAAGAATTGAATTGAAATTGAAGGTAGAATGGACAACACACTTGTCTTACAGTTAATGCCGTTTGTGTCTACTTTCTGTGTTTCTTGTATGAAATTAAGGAACCATGTGTAATTCAAAATCAGTGGTATGTTGAGTTGAGGCTTGATAGTTTTTAGATTTTGTTAATTTTGTTATCAAGTGGGAAGTGTAATTTTGAACCACCTGAAAATTAAGTCATTCTTCAATTGTGAATGATTTTAATACACTCAACTCTTGAATATCCAGAGGTGGATAAACCGGTTTGCAGCTTAACTGGGGCTTTTTTGAGGCTTATATGTTGTTTAATATTCATTCACTTTTGTTTCACATGGTGAGTTGTAACACTATTTTCGCACTACTGTGAACCGAGCTCTGCATTTTTGGGTCCCGTTATGCTAATACAATGTTCTAGGGCAGGGGTGAAAGGATACAAGGATTTGTGGAAAGTTTCAAGGACAGATACACTGCCCCAGTTAGTCTCTTTGTATCAATCTTCAAGTGCGTTAGCAAAATGTCAGGGTGTAAAAGGAAGCGTGTTGTGTTAAGTATTCAACAGACACTTGAAATTATCAATCAGTTGGGGAAAAGAGGTGTAGTTAAACAATTAGCAATGCAGTATGGTATTGGAGAACAAACTGTTCATGATTTGAAAAAACAAAAGAATCAGTTAATTTCCTT